CGTGGGATACTGTGGGGTCCTGTGATCCTGAAAATTCTCCACTGTAGCCTCCCAAAAGCTGGAAGCTGGAAGTTATGGAAGGAATAACAAACGTGTGTGATAGAAGCTGCTGGGGCCACCGTCGTGGGAGGAGTGACCTCTGCTAAGTGGGGACCTGGCGAGCCCCAAGCCTACATGAGCATCTCAGCATCCTTAAGCGGCGGCTGGCTTTTATCGCAGCATGGGAGAGCATGGGTGCGTGCAAGCAAGCACAGTCAGTCTTGCACGCAGGATTATGGTCCATCCTTTTGCTCATTCTGACATCCCGCTGCTTTATGTCTGCCTCGGGATTTCAGTTCACTAAGCATTAGCATACCCATTATCTCCTCCGACATCAGCAAGAAGTAGGTGGGCATGCATTCTGGTCTCCGTGTTAATAATGAAAAAGCAAGAAAGAGCAAAGTTAAGTGTGCCAGGAAAGAAGGTTGGGGAAGGACAGTGAAGCTTACAGGCCCTGCTTTGCCTGACCCCTGCCTGCCTGAGGAGTGCCGGGAAGATATTAACAGAAGCCATAAAATTACAGCCACTGTGTCTCTCATGCTCACACTGCCCAGACTGTCTGTGCCTTGACTTTAGGCATGGTGTTGCGTTTCCTTTATACACACTGAGATGCAGTAAACCTAGGCTTTCCAGCTGGATGCATTTTGACAGGCATTTACCCCTATGTGCCTGTCATCCAGATTCCAGGTCAGCAGCCCTGAATTCCAAACCCTTGTTCTCCTTTCCCAGCAATCCTTACTCTCTAGAGACACCCAGCATGTGAGTACCAGTTACGGGTTATCCCTTTGGCCTGTTCTTAAACTTCATTTATATGGAGTCACAGAGTCCCTGAAACCTGGCACAGTGTCTGACCTTTGACAGGTATCCCACTGGAAGAAAGCCTTCATTCCTAAACTACCTGAGAGAATGTTGGTACAACGTGGGAAACCAAGGCTGCGGGTTTATAGATTACAAGGAGTGAAGTCATGGATCCTGGGCCTGCCAGGTCCCCATAGTCAATTTCCTGGCTTCCTGGTTTCCCCAGAAAGAGGTAGCTGGGTCTCCCAAACATGGGCAGGCAGTGCCCCCTGCTGTCTGTGGGCCTGACCCTAGACTCTTTGCAGGGTAAGAGGATCTCACAAATCTGTTGTCCAGTGACTGGCACAGGACAGGACCTTGTGAAACAGAAGTCACTTGTCATTTTATTTTCCTTTGGAAGGAGTTTTCCCGTAAGCTATGGGGATTTTCTTTATCCAAACTAAACACACCAAGGGAGAGGCAGCCTTTTGGTGGAGTACTGCTGCCCCTGTGTGGCTACCTTAAGACACTACAACTGAGTGGAACTCGCAAGACGGAAGTAGTTCAAGTTTCAGGTTTCTGTGACTTCCTTGGACCCTGAGAGGCAGATGTCCACCAGGGTCATCTCTTGACACTTAAGTTTCCTCCTGGAGTGGGAATGAGAACGTATGGGGCTTCTTGTGGAAGGTATCCGTTGGGGAACCAGCCTTAGCCGTGTGTGTAGGCAGATGCCTCTTTCACATCCTGTCCAGCACAAGCTGGGCTTGACATAAGACTTTCTCCCTTGAACTAAGTATATAGACTGGTCTAATTTGAGGGCAATAGAAGTCAGTGGAGGGGGACTTCTTGGGAGTGGAGCAGCAGTGCCTCCCCAGCTGGCTGCTTCACATGGGGGTTACCACCAAGACCTGCAAGCCCCACCCAGTGTGCTCCGTGGCCTTCTTTTTTGCACCTGTGGTTGGGCTGCGGTGTAACGGCCCAGCCTACCTCTTCTGGGCACGTGGCCCGGAGAGATATTATCTCTAACTCTGTATTTTTAACTCTTCTTTCCAGAGGATGTGGCTTCTGTGGGAGAGCTTCAAAGGGTACCCTGTTTGCCCGTGTCAGCAACCATGACGTCATGGAAGTGGGAGGCTGTTCAGACTCAAACACCTGGAGGGAAGTGGGAAACTTTTTCCATTTCCTGTTCTACTTCTGGCTATTGATTCAGTATCTGACCAGCTTACCCATTTCAGGGTGCAGCTGTCTGTGTGACTCTTGGAGGAAATCCTATGCCTTGTGTGTTTTATGAAAGGAGGACTGAAGATAAACGGGTTGCTTGTGTGGCCTTTACCCAAAGCAGGGCTGGCGATCCGATCCTTCAGACTGCCCCATAGCCAGTTCATGCATCTGCAAGAGTCACAGTATTCGACAGGTCTCTCACGCTCACCTCTGGGAGTATCCCTTGGGAACCCAGACTTCACATCCAGGGTGGGGTGGGTGGGATGTAGACTTCCTCCTTGTACTAAGGAAGCCGGAAGTCCTTCTTCCCATCTGTTTCTTGAGGAACTAGGTTTCAGGGAATTTGTGTGGGTCACTGGTTGTGTGGGTCACTGGGAAAACTGAAATGGACATTAAGTGACCTTTGGCCCTGGATGCTGGTTCTCATGTATGACCAGAGTTGAGACTTTTAGAAGCCGGTGTTTCCTAGTATCTGTCCTCCATCATTTAATCAACAGTCATGACGCTAACATGAGTCTAAACTCTTCAAGGGCCCACCATTCAAGTTTTGATTATTCTAATAGTTTTTGCCAAGCTACTCTATTCCTTGCAAAACTGAAACAGTGGCTCACCTGTCCTTTATTAATGTCACCGTTTTCTCTCAAGCTCAATCCCCTCCCCAGTGACTGTGTGGACCCTCATTGGGTCATTTGTTGGTGTCTGTTGGGTGCCAGGAGCTGCACTAGGTACTGAGGACCTACCGGTGAGCAAGGTACTCCTCCTGTCCCAAGGGCCGTCTATAGTTCAGCACACTCCTTTGTCAACATGTCACCTGGTAATAAAGTGATATTAGGGTTTCCCATGAGATTTGGGAGTTGGATTTTATGTTATACCCCAAACGAAAATGAGACAAAAACAATCCTTGAAGCCTCAGAGGGCTGCTTGGGTGGTCAGAGCAGAGGCTCCTACCTGGCTGCTCCACGGCCTCTCAGAACGCCTTCCACAGTCCTAGCCATGGGACACGAGGGGTCCATTTTTTCTGCCTTCAGAGCTGGCCTGCATAAAGCCCTTGAGGGAGTAGGGCATTTGTCTGAACTCTAGAAGTATCCATTTTAGAGCTGGCCCTGGCAATATGTTTGCAGAGGAAGGGTGCCTCTCTGTGTGAGTTGGCCCAGACTGGTGCAGTGGCAGCCTTGTGACCATTGTCAAGTTGTCATGTCTTCAAGATTCCTCAGTAGCCTCTTCCAGACTAAGCAGTGGGTGGCCCAGAACTGGACGTGAAGGAGCCTCTTTCTGTTCCCCACACTTGTTCAGCCCCCCATGGAGACTTAGCCTCAGCTATCAGGGAAAGTTCTGGTTCTGATTGGATGGAGATTTCTCTAGGGGTGAAGTTGACTCTGATCCCTTAATGGCCTCCTGCCTGCCTTGTCTCAGCCTCCGTTGGGCCTGGAAGGAGGAGGAAGCTTTACTCACTTCCAGGGTGTGGGTGGACCTTCTGTTCCCTGCCACATCACCTCGCTCTGGTCCTCAGGTGACTTTAGGGTTCTAGTGACCTTTGGATGTTGCTACCTGGGGACACTGGGCTAGCACGGTTCAGCAGAGGCCTGGGCCTCTTTCATGTTTAGTGGGGAGGTCTGTCTTTAACTTCCATACTGCCTTCCATGCTTCTTACTCTGTCCCACGCCCACCAAGTCCCCTTCAGCCTCAGCATCGCGGTAGCCAATTTTCAGGAGTGGCACTACTTCAGCCACCCACGCTTTCTTTGACTGGATTTTTTTTTCTTTTTAATAGAACAAAGTGAATTACCACTTTAGGAGGGGAAAAAAAAGACAAACTAATTTGCCCTAAGTTCTTAATGGTTGATAAAGGCTTGCTGCACTAACCTTCCCATGGGCACTTTCATTTAATACAGGGAAGAGAATGGTTTAATTAAAAGAAATTCCCAGTGGTAGTCTCTGGCATCGTGTCAGACACGCGAGGAGGGGTTTGGGGAAGAGGCTTTTTGCCCCTCCGCCTGTATGTGTGAGGGTGGCCCTGTCATGGTGGTGTCTCCTGAGGCCTTCCCCTTTACTGATCTCAAAAGGCTTCATTGTAGGCTAGAGATGTGGCAGTGTAAAAATCATGGGGTTCTGGGGTCACTCTGATCAGAGGCAGCCAGGAGAGAGAACATGGGTTTTTGCTGTCGTCTCCAGTCGCACCTGACGTTTCATGGTTGGTGACCTTGAAGCTCACAGGAGGAGGGACATGCCCTAGATCACGCTCTAAAGCTGGTCAGCCCCATCTCTACAAGAAGAAGTAGGCCTGGGCTACAAGGCCATGAGGACTAGCATATTTCTGGCTAGTGTGGTCATAGACAACAGGTGAACCATGGAAGTACTGGGTGGTGGCAGTGGGTGGGAGTGGGGAGTCCTAGTTGTCAGCAGGCAGTTGTTTGTTGTTCTTTGAGGTGTATTCCCACTAGAATCCCTGCCCTTGGGGAAAGGAGACTGACAGGAGAGGCTCCCTCTCTGCAGAGACCAGCATGCTGTGAGGTCAGGGACTCTCCCTGGTAGTGAGAGCTTAGGACCTCTGCTGTCCTTGGCCAAGTCCCCAGTTGTAGATCTGTGAGGCAAAAACACAGTTTCAGTAGCCAGCCAGTCTGAGTGTAAAAGCAAAGGTATCCCTGGAGGGCAGGAGCCAGTGGGTGAGAACCTGGAGGACACAGATCATCTTTGACTGGTAAAGTTCAGCTATAGGTCAGAGCCTCCCCACCAACCCCCCTGCTGTCCGCCTGTTATGGGGCACGAGCGGGCACTCACACTTATAAAAGGAGCTTCCTGGCCCTTGGCACAGCTTGCTTAGTGGGACTTTTTAAAGAGGTCGTTCCAAGAGGTTGAATGGTGAGGTTTGTTGAGGTAACTGTCTGGGCAAGTGTGATAGACATGTACTTTGGTTTCTCTCTGCATGTAAATGCCCCCACCAAACACAGTCAAATAGGATCACAGTTTCGTTTTTTCTGAATCACCTTTAATGAAGTCATGGGCAACAGAATAATCTACAATGTGGTTCAGTACACACAGCAGCAGGGAGGGGCTAGACAATGAGGTAATTTCTATACCTCGATGAAAGAGTAATGTGCATTTCTTTATGGATGCATAAAAAAACAAACAGAGAAACCAAAAAAACCCACAGAAAAACATGTTCTTTACAACATTCTCCAAGGGATTCTACGGGGAAATCTGTCATGGGGAAGGGGTCTTCAGGTCCGGGAGAAGCCCTGCCCCTGCCTTTTCTGTGAACGGTCAGCAGCAGTAAGGGGGCTGAGTGGGTGCAGCAGTGCTTAGCTCTCCAGCAACCTTCCTCACAAATCCGGGAATTCCAGGTGGCGGGATTGTGAGTGGGGGCCAGCCAGACCCCTGACAGCCTTCTTTAATGAGATGGGAGGGCTCCTTTTGGCTTGACGAGGGATCGGAGGGGTGATGAGGAGGAAGGAGCTTGGCAGTCAGGCTCTTTCGATCTTGCTGACCTGGAGTGAGGAAGCACAGAGATCAGGCTTGGTGCCGAGGACTAGGACCCTCAGGGCTGTGATGGGGATGAAGTTATTCGGGGCTGTGCAAGGTGGCCAGGGACCCTGTCAGGCTGGAAGCATGATGACTGCAGCCGGGCTTAGGGGTAATGAGTATAGTATCTTTGAATATCAAGCTGAAAGAGCTTGCTAGGTAGAAAGAACCCAGCAAGGGGATGCACACTCTGAGAGGCAGGGCCAGAGGCACGTGGTACATGTGCATCAGGGTCAAAGTTTTCTCCTCCTCTATTCTTTGGCTGTGTGACCCTTGATACGACTTGGCTTCACTTTCATTATTTCTAAATGAGGATGATCTGTATCTTAGGAGATTACGGCTGGACCAAGGATGCTGAAAGGATTGTGTTCTGCTAACCGGGTGTTTCAGGGCACTGTTGCAACAGTGTTACAACCTGTAAATGGTGGGGCATGGAAAAGTTCTGTGGGTCCAGTCTTAGGATTTAAAAGCAAATTTTAACTCTGAGGGCGATTTGCTCTCAGGGTTGGGTCTTGCCCTGAACCCACAGCTCTAAGGTTTCTCCAAACTTTGGTGTTTTCTCACCTCATCTGGACCACAGCCTCAGAGTCATGAGCAGGTTAAATCCGGCCACTTTCAGCAGGAGGATTCGGAGTCCCATAACTGACAGGTTTTGAAAGTTTAGGTTCATATCTGGAAAACCAAGAGGCGGTAGCTATTAATGGTACATGCATGAGAGGACTGTACAGCAACTCATGACACTATGGACTTTCCCAAGAGCTGGTTAGACTGGCTGTGAGTAACTTCAACTCCCAGAGCTTTCTTTGAGCTTCTGCACACATCCCACGGCAAAGGTATTTGTGTATTCCTCCAGGGTAAGAACATTGTGTTTTAAGACAAAAAACACCAAAAGGACTTAGTTTATATAGTATTCTGAGGCCCTGTATGGATGGGGATGGGGTTGGGGGTAGATGCTCAGAACTTGTCATAATGCTCTAGGCCTGGGCCCCTCAGTGAAACCACAGATGTGATGACTCAGTAACTATTCCTGTGGAACAGAGGTGGTGCTGAGACAAGACCTTTGCCTGAGGCTATGTGAGTTCTACTTCCTTTCTAGAAAGGAATTCCCCGAGATGTAGAGGGCCAGTGTCCTTAGAGTGACGAGGTTCGTTCAGGGCTGCCCTGATAGGAAGTGTTTTCTTTGGCTATTCTCACAGAGGAAGCAATCAAAGGGACACCAAGGCCTGAGAGTGACTCCCTAGCCTTGTGAAACTGGAGGCACTTCTTAAGTGCTTAGAATGGATAATGAAATTAACCGTGCTGGGGATTCAAGCAGACCCTGGGAAGCTGAAGCAGGACTGGAAGTCTTGTTCTCGTCCCCAGATCCACCCCCTCTCCTCCCCTGTGCACTAAAAGTTATTCCTGTCCCATTTCCCTCCCCCCCCCCACTCCAGCATCACTCAACGCTGGTCAGATCCTTCTCTTACCTGTTTCAAAGCTTTTCTCCATCAACTTGGCATCACAGGGAACTTCTAGAAGGGAAAACAACGACACTTTCTTAGATTATAAAGCATGCTAATTGTCCCACCACAGGTTGTTGGTCAGGAAAACATACCACAGCTTTTCTGTGATTCTTTGGGAGAGAACTGGGGGGACATACTGCCTAAGGGTATCTGATAGGACCAGTACCCTGGCTTGTGGGCACTCTTTTATTCTTTCCACAAATATGGGCTGTGCAAAGTATATGCTGTATGACATTGGCCAGAAAGTTGAGATAGTCCCTGGGCCTGGCAGGTTTCAGTCCAGAGTCCCATAAAGGCAACAAGACATATTTAACAATGACTAGGGCCATATATTTTCATGTAACCCCCAAATTTGCTCCTTTATCATCTCTTTGTATATGGTCCCATTGACTGAGATGCTCTGCCATTTTCCTTGATGGCCACTGACTTATTTCTGTGTGGTTCTATCTGTGAAACCTAAGTGGTGTTGGCCGCTGGAGTCCTACTGTCACCTGGTAGGGCTTCTATCTCCTGTCTTCTGTGTTCTCTGTCTTCTGCTGGACCTACACTCTACCCTCCACACAGCACTCAACCTTCTATTTTATTTTATTTATTTGTTTTTGGAGACAAGGTTTCAGGTAGTCCAGGCTGGCCTTGAACTTGCTGTGTAGGTGAAGATGACTTTGAATGTCTGATTCTCTTGCCTCCCTCTGTGATCTGGTCCCCTATCTGCGTCTTACAACCCATTTCCTGGAGCTCCTCCTTGTTCTCCAGATTCTCCTTTCCTGGGCTTTGACAGGCTCTCTGGCTCGGGCACGGCTGGTGTCTTCTCCGTTAACTTGTAGCATGATAGCATTTTCTCCGAGCCCTTCTCTGAGCAGTTCTTTCCTTAACTCTAAGTTATTGCATATCTTAATTGTAGCCTGGTGTCACTTGCACATCCCTCTGCTGACGGACGGTCTTCCTTGATTAGAATAGAGCTCCCTCCTCCTCATCTGACTTTTTACGCCACTCCAGTGCCCCCCTGAGACTCCGTACCCACACTATTTGGCAGACATAGAAATCAGGGCAGACCCCTGGGGGGATGGGGACAGGAAGGGCATAGAAACTGTGCCTGGGAGAACAGAGAGGGCACGTGGCTCAAGCAAAGACAGGAAGGTGAGCACTCAGAATCGTGAGACCAACGCTGGGCTAGTGTCCTCTGTCATGTTCTCTTGACTGCTTTTGTGATCCGCTAGGACAGGACACACCACTCCTTAATGAAACAGGATGTGGATTTTGCTGACTAATGATGAGGGTAAGAGGACCCAAAGCAGCTTTTGGAAATCATAGATTTGAGCCAGGCCTCTCCTGAAGTAAGGAGACCTCTGGTCCCCACTCACCGGAATTGGAGTGGGGGATGTTCACGTTGAAGGCATCATTGCAGGTGAAGCTCGTTTCGTTGCTCCAGACAATGGCCCCGTTGCTCTTGGAATCCGTAGCCTTCATGTCCAGCACGGTTTTGTTAGAGAAGAACATTGCAGATTCCTTGTGAGACACATTGACTTGAGAATCAAAGTCGGTGAAGAGGCACAGGGTGCTGTTCTTAGACTGAGGATCTGTCAGCTGGTACACAGCAGGTTCTGGGTCCTTGATATCTGTGGGCCAAGAGGACTGATGTTAGAAGGTTTTGTTTTCTTTTTTAAACTTTTGAGTTCTAACTTAGGTCAGAACTCAGATGCCAGTGACATGCAAGAGCAGAACTCTGTGGACTAACCAGTCTTGTTCTCAGGCTTTACTCAGGAAGGACATCTTAGATGTAACTGCCCATGATGGACTCAGGCTTAGCAACAGGCACAAGTCGTGAGTGCCAGCCAAGATCTCTAGCTCTCAGTAAGTCCTTCTCTATGGGGTCCTTTCTGGCATCTGGGAAAACCAGAAAGGAAGGTGGAACCACTAAACCATCTTGTCATTTTTCTACTTAACACGATCTTCAAAATCCCAGTGAGTCTAGTTAACAACTTTGTTTTGACAGGACCAAAACAAGCTTAGGAAACAGAGACCTCGATGTCTCTTTAGGAGGGTACTCTTCCCCAAGTAGGCTGGACATTGGTGAGAAACGCAGGTGTGTGATATTTTGACTTTAAGTTGGAAAGTCTATCACATCACTGGGCCGTTTCTCCCTCATTGATAAGGTTTTGAGTAACACTCACATCCGAGCCCTGTCTCTACAATTTACTCCCAACAGCTTGGATTAAATCAACAGGCAGCTGAAGGCTCAGAATTTTCACCCGTAAGATGGACAAGGTGCTTCACTGCCCGCTCCATCCAGGCTGTTCTGAGAAATGACTGTTTCTCCAAATAAAAATAACTGAATAAACCACACAGCATTGAACAGATGTGCCAGGATTCCACCATGAAAACACACCATTTAACAAACCAATCACACTGTCTCTTTTTTCCAGGAAAGCGAGTACATACTGAGACAATTCTTTATTTTTTCCTAGGGATTTTGTTTTTAACCCTCTCAGACTATTTGACCCTCTCAGACTATTTCCCCACCCCCACCAGTTTCAGAGGAGGAAGCAGAGGCTGTTCTGAGGGATTAACACACCAGACCACCTAGAGAGTTTCCAGCAGGGCTGGGATCAGAGGCTCCTGCCCAGTGGTTCTCACCCCCATAGCTCTTGACTGATCACAGGAGCCAACCAGGGTGGCCTTGGCAATGTAGGCTTCCAGCTGGATCCTAAACCAAAGGAATCAGGCCTGGCGCCATTGCTCTAGGATGCTGAGTTAAGACAAGAGCTGCCTGTAGCAAGCAAGGGACTGCTTTAGAGCGGCAGAGCTGGGCGGGTGTACTGATCAGACGTGGAGTTCTGGTCCCTTTCAGGCAAATATTTAAGGTCTCACCACAGAGACTTCCTAGTGCTTAGTCCCTTTCATTTTCAGCCCCATAGATATCTACTGCAACCCTACCTTTCCCCATGAAAATGAGAAACAAATACCCTTTAATTAGAGGTCTTTGGGGTTCTGTCTCTCAGAGCCCTGCAGTGAGAGGCATTCTATTTCTAACTGGTAAGAAAAACACATTTTACCACCGATGACATCAGAGATCACTTTAGCAAGACTGGATCAATTTCTCAGCTCCAAGTTCAGCTGTCCTGGATTCTAACTTGCCATCATAATTCAAAACATACAGAGGCGCGTGTCTGAGTGCGTTCGTGCTGTAGGTCCCCAGGGGCATTGCAGTGATAGAAGACTCCCTCACCACTAAATCTGTGCTCTGTTATTAAGTACTGGGAACCTAGGAATGAGAGTTAGTGACACAGATGTGGTTCCTACTCAGGCGTGGATAGCATCAGGAAACTGCACTGCAGGCTTGTCTGGAAAGATGGAGCACCCCTCTGCACACCAGTCCTAATGCTTCCTCGCAGAAACAACCCCTGATTGTCTTCCAAGGAGGCTGAGATGAACTCACCTAGAGTCTGATGAAGAGGGAGGGGGGATTCATGGCTGTGGAAAGACCTGATCCCTCTCACCTCACATCTGGTCTGCTCACTAAACTGGATTCTCAGTTTTCTTGTGGCTGGCCCCCGTCCCAGTCTCTCTTCCCTGGGACGTTCTAGTGTTTATCTCCGCTGTCTAAGGAGGCTCCTTTGTTGTCTTTCTCTTCATCTATTTTTACTATCGGATCTGCCTACACAAGCCAGAAGGCCTGTGCCTTGTTTATCCCAAGATCAAGTCTTTCTGGTTGCCCCTCGGTTGGGATTCTGCCTCCCTCCTCTCTCTTAGTTACACAGATATTATCAGTCCGTCAAGGCTCAACAAATCTTTTCTAGCACAGAAAGCAGCCTCAGTCTAGGGTACCTTCTCCCAGGACCCCTCTGAGTCTGTTTGTCTACACCAGCAGTTGCCAACCCTCACATCGTTTGTAGGTTGTTAAATGTGCAGTAGTTCTGAACCTTTGTCTAGTTTTTATGCTGTCTGCGGACAGGTTAGACATCTATCTGTCTTCGGCTTTTTATTCTCAGCCTAACATTATCTAGAGTGATAGCTACTTAGAGGCATTTAAAAGTGTCCATTGAATGATTAAAGTCATCTTTTAATGAGTTTGACCTAGAGAAAAACACAGATATTTAAGATTGATAGTGATGCCTTCTCTCTTCGAAGACATCCCTAAAACAATCAGCAAGATACCCCAGTTAGCCTCACCCTGCCATGGGGACAGTGGACATCTGCAGAGAGAGGGTTAATGACCATGGCCTACTGGGTTGCAAATGGTGCCACTTGGGATAACTCACCAGATATTACTGTCACTTGGGTCTCTTTCCCGAACATTAATTTACCACTTAGTCCTCCAGTATTCACACTGCAGGTTACACCTTTACAGAAGCTGACTTGACCTACCTACTCCTTAGATAGAAGCACTAGGTGCTTTCCTTCAGGGAAAGTTCCTAATTATTCCTAATTATTTAGGGAAATTATTTTATAAATTCCCTAAATTAGGGAAAATTTAAAAATTATTATAATTTTCTCTCAGGGTGGAGAATCCCAGGCTTGAGACTTAGCCCTTCTGCTAGCTTAGCAATTCTGTCTCTGCTACAAACAGTCCTTTCCTCCTGCCCTGTTCTACTGTGAGGCCCAAAACTGAAGTAAGTGATTTCCGTAAATTCAGGAGAATTTTATGAAATCGACACTCCTTGCTCAGAGCAGCAGCTTCTCAGATATTCTAATTGAAGGATCTAGATTGTCAACAGCCTTATGATTGCCAAGGCTTCAGAGCAAAGACAGTGTTTCTTCAGTACTGGGTGGGATGGGTTCTTTCTAGAAACACTTAAAAATCCTACAGAAGAAAATACCAGAACTCGAGCTCTGTCTTAGACAGAGAGGCAGAGGGAGTAGGTGTAAGTTCTATCCTTGACTCATTGTATGTATATGGTGGATTGCTTAGTTTGGTTTCAGCTCCAGAGATTAGTTTAGGGTTAGAGCTGGATTCCCAGTACAGCTAAGGTCTTTGAAGAAGTCTTTCTGACACCAGTCAGAGCCCACTGGGGTCTCAGGATATTTCCCTAAAATGTCCTGGAGTTCTTGGTTTCTTACAATTTCTGTTTACCAAGGGAGCTGTTGCTCCCTCTTTTTACAACAATATAAACCTTGTGTGGCAAAGCCATGATACTAGTACCAAGGATGTACTAGATGCTCTCTCAATGGAAGATTTTTGTTGTTGTTGTGTGCAGGCAATATCTCACATGATACCAAATGATGTGGGAATATCATTTTGTTGTTGAAAGTGAAACACTATTAAATATAGCTGATGAAGGTAGCGCCTCCTCCTCCATCTCCCTCTCTATCTGGCCAGCACAGAGCTCAGCCATTTTTACCCTTGGGTGCAGATTCTGGGACTCAACTCAGTTCTGAGAAAAGTCTCTGGGAACTGGTGTCCCCTCACCACACTCATTAGCTAACTCAGAAGTTTAACTACCTGCTGCAATAAAAGAGAATTTGTGTTTGCCATTAACCCATCTCTTCCTCCCCAAGGGCACTTAGCTAATTTCCTGAATGTTCAGGTTATCTGGTGCTGATATTATCAGCCTCGCTTGAAAGCACTGAGTATATGCAATTCTTTTAAAAACTTTTTTTCTATAAATTATCCTGTCCAGATTTTCATTTATTCAATTGGCTCTTGGCACCTCTCTGACTTCAGTATGAGAACTAAATATTTGAAGCTACCACCAGAGCCTATGGAAATAAGAAATGATATTTTGTGCATCCCAAGATTTGCTATCGATTACATCAATAAGGCACCAGTTCTTTTTGTACCCGTCATTGGCCTGATCATACTCACGTGGGCACACAGCCAGACTGGTCCCTGCTCCAAAGGTCAACTTATTGAAGCCACCAGATAACACACAGTAGAAAGGTGCTTTACAAGAATTCTAATCTGGGCTGGACCAGCCTCGATGGGACACTCGCCTCCTGCCTCAGTTTAAAGATTTCCCTCAAGTCAATTTTCCTTTGATGAAAGAGAAGTCTCACCACAGTTCCTTTTTTTTTCCAGGAGTAGGCCCAGAGACCTTTCCCTCAGTCATCTTGAAGCCAATAAGGTTTTCCTAAAAGGAAGGTACCCTTTCTGGCATCAACAACACAATTAAAGATGTAAGAGGCACCTTGGAAGAGTGTGATTAATTGCAAAATGATTTTAAAAGTACACATTGTTTTCTTTTCTGACATGGTCTTGCTCTGTAGCCCAAGGCTGGCCTTGAACTCACGATCCTCATGCCTCGGTTTCTTGAGTGCTGGGATTATGAGTGTGTGTCACCATGCCTAGTATGAAATGGCAGCTCGTGCAAAGCATCTTCAAGGCTTAGTGACAGGACTGAGGTGTAGGAGAGCCCTCCCTTAAGATGGCACCTGTAATTCCCTAGGGTACGCATGGACTACAATTATCATGGCTAGGAAGCCAGGAGAAAGCTCCGCCTTGTACTGACGTCATACGGGACACAAACCCCAGAGTCTGAGAACAGTGTAAACAAGTGAGAGTTCTCAGTGCGGATAGCACAGAGCCTCATCCCTTCTAAATTTCTGTGAAAAAAGAAAAAAAAAAAAAACTAAAGCCCAGAAAGATTAGAAAGTATGTAGTGCATTCTAATCCTGAAGA